TATATATATATATATATATATATATATCGTCAAATAGTATATATATCGTCAAATAGTATATATATCGTCAAACAGAACTGCCCGGTAAACTGTAGGCAGAGAGGGAGAAGAGGACAACAAACGAGGGGCTGTGACATATATATATATGTATGCCATGATGACAAAGTAGATTTGGAGAGGGAATTCACACCAAAACAGATTGAGATATGCACACCGGAAGCTCAACGGTCCACAATATCTGTTAAAGTTGTAACGATACAGAGAAGATTGAGATTGGCATGAAACTCGGGTGGAAACCGGTTGCTGACGACGAGTATGAGGGAAGGCAGTGGAAGACAAGATAGACTGGACAATTTCTGTATTAATTTTTTTTCATGATCATGATGTCTGTGAGGATCATCTGCGCAGTGAAGCAGCAGAAGGATCGCCAACCGGATTCCATGCACTGTCCATGTCAACTGTGAGAGTAAAGCCTCGCGTTCGCAGTAACTGCTCTATTTGCAGTGCGAACTCGTCTCTCCAGCTCTATCAGTACCCCACAAAGAACTCCAAGAATCTTAACCGAGAATAAACCACCTTGGGGTCTCTCTCTCTCTCTCTCTCTCTCTCTCTCTCTCTCTCTCTCTCTCTCTCTCTCTCTCTCTCTCCAGCCTTGGAACCAAGCTTCAACAAGCCTCAGGAGCCTTCTGCTCCCTGCTCCCTCCAGCATCATCCTCCACACAGACGGCTATGGCGCACGGCCCAACACAAGACACAGGGGGCAGCCCTGCCCTAATCCTTGCAGGCCACCAGAGCCTCCCTCCTATGGTCTCAGCAGCACCAGCGCAACCCCGACAGCAGTCAGATGCTCCAGTAGCGATGGGCCAGGGGCCTCCAGGAATATGTGGCGTGAGCTTCAGAAAGAAGAAGGAGCCGCCAGGTTGACGCAGAAGAAGAACAGCTGCCACCGTGACGAAGAAGAGGATATCGCAGCGCCTAACCCAACAGCACAGATATGCTGCCGGCAGACCAGCAGATGAACCACCTGCTTCACTGCTGCGCAAACCCTAGCAGTGACTGCCCAGCTACAGCGCTGCTCCAGCAGCTGGGCGGCGTCAACAGCACTAAACTACTGCTTCTTCCCCAAAGAGAGCTAACACTTTGTACCTACTTTATACTTGTACACTAACCTACCGGACTGGACTACCCAGGACCTACGACCAACTAACAGATAGGGGTCAGACTCTGTGGTTTTCCAGTAACAACGGTACAGGTTGGGGCAAAGGTAGACCTACTAACAGTTATGGGTCTATATTTTCAGTAACCCAAAAAAAAAAAGTTTGTGGCAAGTAAAGCAACAGTCAGTTGAGGCCCGAATCAGGTTCAGAGTCTTTAGACTCTCTAGAGTCTTTAGACCCAGTAGGCCCCGTTTTTGCAGCAGATTAAAGAATTTGCACCATTTTTGCAGTAATGGTCCCAGTTAGTGCCACAGCCCTGTTGTTTTAGTCCTGTTTCAATTACCGGTTAGGACCCAAAACTCTAGAAAATTGCAAAATGGTCCCAGTTAGTGCCACAGCCCTGGGAAAGTGCCAGAACATTGCATATGTATATAATATTATACGTTTGATGATATATGTATATATATCGTCAAACAGAGCTCCCCGGTAAACTGTAGGCAGAGAGGGAGGAGGACAACAAACAAGGGGCTGTGACAAACTGTTTTGTCGGAGTTTCACCGTTATATATATATACATCCGCCAATTTTTTTTTCGGGGCCTAAAAGTACGTTTTTTTTTCTGAATTTTTTTTTGTAAGTTCTCTATTATGTAGTCTACATGCCTATAAATGTTGAAGCCATTCTGCTAAGCCACAAAAACATTAAAAATCGTCAAAGATGGGGGTGTCAAAACGTGCTCGCCCACTCACTATTTTGTTTTTTTTCACTTTTAACTTTTTGTTTTCACTTTATTTCGGGGCCTAAAAACTTTTATTATTTTTTGAAAACTTTTTCATTAG